AACATAAGTAATCAAGTGGTGTCCTGCGTTTTTACATGTCTCGTGGTTTTAGTACGTCCCCAAAGCTATTGTGCGCATGTTGACAGCGCTTAAACTGACTCCAAGGTAATGGGGAAGATGATGCGTTCATAGCGCAGGAGAAGTTATCGTTTAGGTTTCTGCATATTTCACCTGATTTGGGCGACGGAAGGATATACTGGCTGCATGGAACTTCCGATTCGAGACCTGTTCAAGAGGATGACATTTATTCTGATTCGATGCTGAAGAATCAGCCTTCCGTCACCCTCTACGTATGAAAGTGTCTCAAATAGTGCTCTTTTAAACGTGTTGAAGAGTGTGTTGTGAGGACAGGCCGCAAAGCATTAGCCATGCGCTGTAAATGTGGAAGTAGAAAACATGAGTTAAAATGGGGCTGTGGTCAACAGTGACAGTTAAACCGTCGATTTCGACTGTGCCCACCGTATGCTCCACAACAGTTTGGTGCAGGAACTGTGACTTGCACGTGAATTAGTTTTACGCGATAGCAAACTTTGGCAGCATCTACTGCACCCTCTCTCTACCCTCACCCACCTGGGCCTAATCTCAAGATAGTGTCAAGAAGAGCGGAAGCAGGGTCTGGCATGAGGCCGCCCCTCCAAGGCGTGCTACTACAACTTCTAGTAGGATCCCAGTTACTTGGCAGTGCCATAACGGCCACATCCATTCCAGGCACTCAAAACAACAAAACACACACTGGACTCACTGCGCGATCTGAGTTATCAGTTGACGACCCTCCAATATACGGTTTTTAGCGCACAGTGATTATTCCAAGCGCGTCAGATTTTTATGTTGGGGGAGGAAATGCACTCAATCTAGGGTCCATGCAGGCAGTTGCCAAGCCACACTACTTATATGCTGGTACTGATCTGCCCCACGTCACATACGACGTTTCAGGTAGCAGAGACAGTGGACTCGGATGCTACGGGGGCCAGGAGGGTAGCAATTCAAAGAACAATTTATGAGGGGCAAGAGGCGATTGAAAGGATCCGTCATGCAGTCCTCCAGCAGGTAGCACAGAATCGACAAATCAAGTCCCGAAAGCAACGATTAATCCAGCTATCAGCCGCCAAGATCTATGGTAATTGATATTGACAAGGCGATTGCAAGTCAACAGTAGTTTACGTAGTGCACCTCATATACCTCTAGCTCCAGCATTTTGTCCTATGGAAACGGTTGTGACAAGAGTTATATGGGTGGGGAATTAGGATAGGCAGTAAAATACACTGCCTTTTTTATTTTACCTATTTAGAAATGTTGTTTGTTTATATCTGTAAACTTTCCCAAGCTGTATGATCGTTTAACGTATTGCGGAAAAATCCGTTTATCAAAATGCAGGTGTCTTGAAATTCCGGGAAAAATAGAAATGGCGGTTAGGAGGTCGTCTATATCAACTTACTGTTTTGGAGTTAGAGTAGTATAGTCCGCGGCGCGAAGCGCCACGCACACATTCAATTTACATGCGGAACAACTTACTTTCAGCGGCTGCGGGAAACAAATTCAACTACATTTTCCACCTTCCACTCACTTCTAAACATGTATTTCATTGCCTATCCTATTTCTCCACTTTCAAAACCCCTATAACCACCGGTTCCGTAGGAGGAAATGTTGGGACTAGGGTAAATGAGGGGGACTACCTAAGCTACTTCTGCCGACTTTGAACTTGTCTCGTATTGTCTCGCATTACTTAAAATACCTTTGCCGATTGCAATTTTGCTTAAAAGGTGGCAATTCTAATGCACTGCAGAGGCCAATGGTAGGTGCCGAATTACCTGGCAGGTGAAAGTTGTCCCCTTAAAGCAGCAATCTCCGCTGTGTGCTCACCTTGTAACTTTTTGTGATGACTCGTCTGGTACGTCGATGTTTCGCACCCTCATCATCCGATCCGGCAGCAGAGTCATCTTCCTCGTCGTCCTCTGTTTCAACAAAGTCGGAATCAATTGAATCTTGGACGGAGCTTTCAGACTCGTAGTCTACGTCATCAGCTTCCTGAAAAGCGCGAACGCGCAAAACATTGGTATAAAGATACAAACTACTTAATGTGAGTAAGTAGACATCGACGAGTAATTAAACACATAAACAACAGGACTGACCTCTGTGAAACCGCCGTAAGTGCTCGTGTAAAATTCATCCTCTTCTTCCTCGTTTAGCAATCGTGCCATGCGTGAGCCGGCGCCAGGACGACGACTGCGCGTGAGTGCAATCGAATTCTGCATCTTTTAAGGTCTAATAAAGTGGAAATTTCCAAATAACAGAGATGACTTGGGTGAACACAAGGAACAGCGTTTTTGTACGCTCTACCGCCAACAAACACAGTTAGCCTACTAAAAGTCAAGTCGAAAGGCACTTCGCAGAGAAGATGCCTGTAAAGCAGTCACATAAACACACACATTCGACATCGGTTAATGCTTGGAGGCCCTACTGCATTTTGAGAAGGCAGAAAAATGCAGACTTGTGCTGTAGGATGCTTTATTTGCACACACCACAAATTATGAACAGGCAGGTAGTGAAAGTAAGCATTTATTCCCACTACTTTTAAAAGTGAAATAACGAAATAGATAAGCTGAGAACTATAAAGCTGGAGATGCGACTAGTGACGTCAGTCTACT